TGATGTTCCTGCCACATTGAGTACTCGTGCTCGTTTGGCTGTTCGAAAGTTGTAGACAGATATCTGATATTCGGTAGAACTCTCTTTGGTTTGATTGAGATTTTGTTGGCTCTTTCGTTTGGAATCTGAAGAGTTGATGGATTCACTCAATGCAATAAATTTTCGGTTGTAGGAAATGGCAAAAGAATGAATTTCCAAAACATTGCCACTTTTCAAAATAAATGTATGAGTTCGTTTTTCATAATTAAATATTGAAACATGTTTTCCGACAAGATATACAATTTCCTCTTCATTTTCCAAATGTTGAATGGCTTGCGGTATATTTCGAAATCCGAGAGTGTGGCTGTTGATGATGATGATCGGGTTGATGCAATGATTTATCAAAAGAATTTTTTTTTAATGATCCAATTCGGTTGCTTTAAAAAACTTACAAAAATTTGAGACGCGTTCCTTCAAACGTTTCCATAGCAGCATCATTGTCATCTTCTTTCTTATCTGCATTTAATTGAGGAGAGCCAGGCTCAAACGAAGCATCATTCAAAATGTTGTTCGATGATGATTGATTCGGAATCTGAATGGTATTTGATGAGGACGAGGTTGTGGTGTCCTCATTCTCGGTCATTGTTACTGAAAGGGATTCAAAGGATGTTATTAATGAATTTTTTTTAATGTAAAGATTTTGGCGGGAATGAATAAATTAAGACTTATCGAGCGCTCTCCTATAATGAACCTCAAGGTATAATATTAAAGCATTGCTGCTTCAAGCAAAATTGGCTTGGAAATTTCTCTTGCTGCTTAAAATTCAAAACTATCGTTTTCATTCTTTCCATCGAATTTCTTTACTGAACTATGTATTCGACTTCATGATTAGATCATTTGAAAGAACAAAGAGATGGAAAACATAATGCTCACTGTGGGTAAGTAAAGAGATATGGTATAATAATTTTATGCAATGAGTTTGTGAAGAGACTCAATACTATGATTGAGTTTTTCTTTTTCAAAATCGATCAAAATCTTATTCGATGGCACATGCTCAGCAAACAAATGCTCGTATCGACCAGGGTTGCCATCCACAGGTGGATAAATTCTCTTAAAGTTGTGCATTCGTGACAATTCATCTTCACTATCGTGGAGAATGTACTTTTCTTGAGCACTCACAGATTCTCCATAATAACGAAGTTTGCTCTGTTTCTCTTGTTCGTAATTCAAACGCGAGTAAGGAACCATACCAATAATATGGAAAGCTTCGCTCAAAACATCGACCTTCACGCGTTTATCGAGCACTGAGGACACTCCTAGAGATGGCATTATATTGACCTCAATGAGCCATGGCTTCAAATTGTTGTCGATCATGACGTCAAAACCATAAATTTCAAAGCAGTTCTTTGTGCTTGGCAATTTGACCTTGTCACATGTTTGTCTAATTCTTCCTTCAACGGAAATTAATGTCTTGACAATGAGTGATTCAACGTCACCCCAAATCTTTTCGACTGGGAATCCATTTCGTTTGAGGTATGATTTGAGGGATGGAATGCTCCATTTGTGAGCATGTTCATTCCAACCATCCTCCTCTGACTCTCCTTCTTCATTATTTCTCACGTAGGCATCAGACTTTTTGTTGAGTGAGTAATTGGTTAAATGCGAAAATACACTATCCAAATTTTCCATGTCGTATTCTTCGGTGGCAAATCGCGCTAATCCATCATTATGCAAATAAACACGAAGAGGATCATATGAGGAGACAAGAACATAGAGTCTCATGTCAAATTTCTTTCCGCTAATCAACAATGGATTTGCAATATATTCCTGAGCGAGGATACGTTTGTCTTGTGGAATTGGAGCCTGTTTCTTGGTATTGTAAACGCTAATTCCTCTTCCACAGCTACTTGCGAATGGTTTGAGAATGAAGAGCTCTTGTTCCTTACATCTCTGTTCAAAAACATTGTAATCGTACGGTAAGAGGAAGCTGTCAGGGAAAAAGTCATATTCAGCACCTCCCATTAATTGCTGTTGTCTGAAGAGATTAATGAAGAGTAAATCCTTTCGACCTAAATTTGTTGATCCTGGAAAATGATTCACTTTTTGAAATGCATTCAAGTGTTGATAAAAGTGAGCAGGCAAGTGACGTCCCCAGAAAATTGAAAATGGTTCCTTGATGAAACTTTCGAAACGTCTCTCCTTTTCCTCCTCGTCTGCACTCATAAATCCTCTCTCAACCACAGGAACGTCCTTTCCTAATCTCTTAAATCCCGCTCTGAGTAAGCTATATCTTAGTGCGCTATAATTAAAACTAGAAAGACGGTAGTATGGTTGTGAATCCACAATATTATCTTTTAAGGTTCGGGATTGAAGTTGTGCATTATGTTGTTCATAGTATTGGGCAAGGTTAGGATTAGGATATGTCTTGTCAATATTTGGTAATTGTGCAGTTAGAGATTCAACATTATCTTGTGATTGAAATTCAAAAGCAGCCTTTCCGTCCGTAAATTGATGAATGAGAGAGATGGTGGGTGGTCTCGGAGTACCGTATTGTTCAAAAATCGATGGCAACACATAGAATTTTCTCTCCATAGCCTCCAAAGCTGCTTGCTCTGAAGTAGCCATTTCTGCAGGTGAGAGTGATGGTGCTGAGGCGGTTTGTGCTTCCTCTGAAATCAATTCCGATGGTGATGGCCTCGATGGAAATGTCTCTTCATTCACGGCAACACTTGTGGCAGACTGATGAGAGGTTGTTGTGGTTGAATAGGAAGCATAACATTGGTTGTTAGTAGTAGTATTATTATTATTTCTTCTCAAGGCAAGTCTATGATGTCCATTGTTGGTGAGAACGGAAGGAGAGCCTCCTTCCAGTCCAATCCATGTTTTACATAGAGAAGAGTTGGAAAGGAAAGGCTTGAGACGTCGTTGCATTTTTGTTTGTTGCGAAAAAAAATTGATTAATCGGCCTATCCATCAGCCTTTTTGATTGAATGGCTATCATCGTATGTTCGGAATGAGTGAAAACCCAAGCGCAATGGTGAATTCAACTTGAAAGAGAAGATGTTATAAAGTTCTGCATCTTCACAAAGTTTCGAAATTCAAAATAATTTCTTTAAAGTATTTTCTTAATGTTGAGGACTGTACATCTCTGAAATGCATGTTCAAAAGAATGGCCACATTGAACAACAACAACGAATTGACCATTAGAGGAATGGTGTACCACTAAATCGCTCAATTTGTTGAATACTCTTTGAAGGAAATTACTCGATTATGTGTTGCTTCCTTTTCTGAATTTGTCAAGCAAACACTTTCCACTTACAAATCCAACCAAATGATTGCATTGCACAAAGATTACTCGTCAAAAGCAAGCACGTTTATTCTCTAAAAAACAGACTCCACCAGTTTGAACATTTTCATATAACGCTGAATCACCTTTGAATTTGTTATACTTCCATATCTTTAGATTGATTTTCAATCCAATTCACAAATCAAAGCAATCCATTATTGTATTAATTCAAGCAAACACCAAGAATGGTCGAACTCAAGAAAGTTGCCAAACAAAAGTCTACTGCTGGACCTTCAGGAAAATCCAAACAGAAACAACAACACATTCCCTCAAAAACCAAAACTCGTGTACCACTCTTCCAAAAGATTGTTCAAGAACAAATTCAACCTGCTTACCCATCTCCCATTCTCGATGAGAAACGAGATCGCAACTTTGAAGATCTGATGAAACATTCCCTCGATGAAATCTTGAAACTCAAACATACGGACAATCCACACAGTTCCTTCATTGGTAAGGCTGAAAGAATTCTCAATGCTGAGGAAGATATTGCCAATTATAGAGCCAAAGCAGAGCTTCCACTTCATCCTTCCACACCAAAACAAGTCATTTCTAAAGTTTCAGAGTATTTTCACGGTGTGATGGATCTTTCCTCTCCAGTGAATTTGGAAAATGTGAATCCTCCTGCAAATATTCCAGCATTGATTAGTTCCTTCTTTGGTTCATTGTACAACGTGGCAGTGGTCCACGATGAATTTGCTTGGAATGTTTCATTGACAGAAATTGAATCTTTGGGAATGTTATCGAAATTGGTCGGTTGGGATCCACAAACTGCGAATGGAATATTTACTTTTGGAGGAACAGGAAATGAATTGGTAAGTCGTCATCATTGTGAAATTTTAAACCCTTAATGATGATGGTTTATTGTTGATGAACTGCGAATGATTTATGAACATGAATTTTTTGCCTTTTTTAATGAAACCCAAAACAACATCAGTATGCCCTCAAAGTTGCTTTAGCAAGGTGTCTCGGAATGAAATATCGTTACAAAGGTATTCGTGATAGTGATCATGTAAAGGTTTTTGTCTCTGAGATTGGTCACTATTGCAAATTTAACACCTGTGATTGGTGTGGTATTGGAATGGACAATATTGTTGGTATTGGCATCAATGATGACAATTCGATGAATATGGATGACCTCTACAAGAAACTCTCCGAATCTGCTCGCAACAAGGAAAAAATTGCATGCATTATTGCTACCTGTGGATCGACGGACCCATTCGGTGTCGATGATGTTCGCAGCATTGTGGAAATTCGTGACAAGATTGTTGAGGAATATCAACTCGATTACAAACCCTTCGTTTACGTCGATTCTGTGATTGGATGGCCATGGCTCTTCTTCCGTTATTATGATTTTGAGAAGAATCCTCTCCAAATTGACACTCAATATGTCCTTCCTGCCATTAAGAGTGTGTTTGAAAGAATTCAATTCATGAATTTGGCAGACGCTGTTGGAATTGATTTCCACAAGACTGGATTTTCTCACTACGTCTGTAGTTGTGTCTTATTCAAAGACAGAAAAGAATTTGAAGAGAATCTATCACGTCCCAAAGAGTTCATGTATTACTTGTATAATTTCTCTGTGTACAAACCTGGATGCTACACACTCGAATGCTCGAGACCTGCCATGTGCTTGTCTGCCTATAGCACTTTGTTATTGTTTGGAATTGAGGGTTATCAGTCAATGATTGCTCATTTGGTGAGTGTTCAACATGCACTTCGTACCGCTCTCTCTGAATTTGAGAACATTGTCATTGTAAATGATTTGGATAATGGATTTGTGACACTCTTCAGAGTCTATCCAGAAGGAATCAATGCCAAAGAGCAATACAAAAAAGAATTTGAAGAGAGTGATGCCACAGTTGTTAACAAATCCAACGATTATCAAAAACATATTGCAAACATTCTTCACTTGAAACGAATCGAAGAAGATGGACCTGCTCTCTCCTACACTAGAAATTTCAGAAAAAACAAACATGGACTTGCATTGTCTGCTATTAAGGCCTTCCCAATGAGTCCATTCTGTACTGAAGAACTTATTCGAGATTATGTGGTGAAATATATTGTAAATGTTTGTAAAGAAGTTGGACATGATATTGACGGCCATGTTGAAAAAGTGGAAGGAGAAGGCCATCCTTCATGGAAATATCCAAGACATCGACATTTTGACAAGCTAACGATGCACAATCAGTGGTAAATGATGAGGAATATGGCAAGCACCACTTTTGTGCGGCAGTTGAAATATTGTGAACTTCACAAGAGAAGGAATTTGGTGAGACTGAATTGCTTATTCCCATTTGTGATCGTGGGTTTGACGATAATAAATGAGACACTAAATTTGATGCAGAATCACCAGTTAAGTACTTACATACTCGCTTTGGAAATTTGAGTTTGTGTGAGTTTTTGAAAAGTGGCATTGTTGATTAATGACTCATTGAAGATGTGAACTCCTGAGGACAAACTAATTTTTTAATTTTTCGATGGGTAATGAAAGTGGTGAACACCAACTTGACACAAGCTTCCACTTTGTGTCTCAGAAAACAAAAAAAACTGCCCGAGATATCGTTTGCTCCTTCTTTTCCACACCAACCATCTCAAACCCCTAGTATATCTCCTTCCAAAATGACAAGTTCGACGACGAGCAATAGTACCAGGAGTTCAACCGCATGCACCACCAATGCCATCCCTACGTCTCTGCTGCTGAGACTCTTTTTATCCTTCTTCATTCTCTTCATCTTGTCCTTCACAAACACTCCTCTATCCTCAACAACAAAAACAACTCAACCTATCATTCTGGTCCATGCAGCACCTATCATTACCTACTTAGACTATGCCTATGACACCTATCTTCTCTTTAACTCGGCTCTCGAAAATACAACGAATGCCACTTCGTGCGGATATCCCAGTTCAAATCCGTGTTTTACCATCCAACAACAAATGCAAGCCATCGATGCGCAAATACCCTCCACGCAAAATGTCTTGTACAACCTTCAATTGACCATTCATGTGATGAGTGATATTTCATCCGAGTTTTGCAATTACATGTTCACAAATCCGAACATATCCAAGTTTGCTAGTTTTGATTTCACATGGATTTCCTCGAAACCTAACCAATCGCATGTGGTGTTGGATTGTCAGGGGAGCGAATTTTTTAGTTTTTCCAAAGCTCCTGCCATATTGAATATCACGAATCGATTTAGTTCGTTCGATGTGAGGAATACAATTTTCAAGGAAAAGATGATGATTTCGTCCATGAATTATTGCAATTTTACTGGCTCCTCGATATACAAGTTAAATGAAAATAGTGACACGAGAATTCAAAATTCAATTTTTTTCAATACCTACTGGTCGATGTCGAACGTGGCAGCAGCATTAATATTTCGATGGTGTAACTTTGTGAATGGCAGTATGATTATGGGAGATGTTATTTCAAAAACCCTCACAGTGGGAGAATCTTATTTTGAGAATGTGGATTTGATTTTAAGGTTTTCAAATATGAATTTTTTAAATGTCAAATTTAATGATAATTTGGTAATTTTTAGCCAATTTCAAAGCTTGTTAATGCAACAAATTAATATTGTCACAACAAAACAAACACTGATAACGTTCGGAGACTCGATGGTCATTCGAAACTCCATCTTTGAACGAAGCAATTTAGATCTAAAAATTGTTTCTGTACGAAGTGTTAAAATAGAGAATTCGACTTTTTCAAATAATTATCAAACAGATCTAACCAATAAGGCGCTGTTGCAGCTCACTGGCTTGTATACTCTTTCTGTCACCAATTCAAGTTTTGTCAACAATAGAGACCTCCCAATGATGTCCATCTATCAAGGCTCCATTGTGAATGTTCAAAATTCAATTTTTCAATTTAACACTGGAGGAGCAATTCAAATTGAAAACATGGTTGGATATTTCAAATTCTCTTCAGTTTCATTTAATAATTGCATATTTACTGGAAATGTGGGACAACATGGAGGTGCTGTTGCAATTGGTAGAACTATTGGAAATCTCATCATTTCAAATTGCCAGTTCACAAAGAATTATGCAATGGATGGAGGAGCACTCTATTTACAACAAGAAAATGTCACTATTTCAAATTGTCAATTTTCAGGAAATTCGGCATCCCAAAATGGAGGATCCATCTTTGTGAAAGATACTTCATCATTTTCTCTTCAAAGTTCTACTCTCCAAAATAACATGGCCAAGCGAGGAGGTGCCTTATACTTGTCTTCTCTCACTTCCAATTACATAGTGAACTCAATTTGCACCAATAATATGGCCTCTTATTCAGGTGGATGTCTTTTCACAGAAAACCCAATGAATCCTTCATTGTTGCAATCGGTTTCCAACTCGTTGACAGGACTAAATTCAGCTGTTTCATATGGAAACAATATTGCCACAAGTATTGATGCAAGTCAATTCCAATTTTCAGTCAAGTATCAGAATCAACAAGATCCATCGATCACTACCATCACAGACATGCCATCTTCTCTCACCTTATATCCAGGACAGCCCGTAGATATTACTTTGAAAATGAAGGACAAGAATAATCAAGAAATCAAGTCAATTGAACAACCTATTACAGTGTCGAGTGTTGGCAACAATATTTCTGTCCTCATTGATTCCCTCTCAAGCGATTATTTAACCATCCGGGGATTGTATCTTTCTGTGTATTCCAGCAATGACCTTCTCACGAATACGACATTGAATTTGACAGTGAACAGCAACATGTTCTTTTCCATACCAGTCCAAATCATGACATGCAATCCAGAGGATTCTCTTCAACCGATGAGCTCGAGTGGAAATGCAATGATTTGTTCTAAAAATCCTCCTGGATTTCCGTATTTCATTGTGATTCCTGTGGTCTTGATTGGAGGAGTGATTCTCTTTATTGTTGGAATTATCTTTGGAATTGCTGTCTTGTATGGTGTCTATGTGATTGTGAAAAAACTGAAAAAGCTCGAAAAGAAAGAAAAGGCAGAAATGAAGTTGGAAAAGACTTTAATTGACAAGAAATTTATTTTCACAGGTTCCACCACAACTCCTCCTCTGAATGCACATGCTTCGGGTCGAACGACGAAATCCGTTATGAGTAGTATCACTCGACCATCTATTCACTATCAAGAAAAGCACATTATACCCATTGAAAATTTAGATGTTGTTAAAAAGATCGGAGAAGGATCGAATGGAATGGTCTATCTTGCTAATTGGAATGGAACTGAAGTTGCTGTGAAGAGTCTCAAATTAGATTACTCTGAATTGCATGGAGAAAGTGAAGAATTCGAACGAGAAGCATCCCTATTGAGCTCATTGAGACATCCAAATATTGTGAATTTCTACGGAGTTAGCATGACTGAAAATGGAAAATTCATGATTGTTGAATATTTATCTCGAGGAAGTTTGGATAAGCTCATTTATCAATGCAAGACGGGTAAGGCGAAGTTACCTCTCGCTAAAAAACTTTCCATCTTGTTGGGAATTTCGAACGGAATGGCCTATTTGCATTCCTTAAAACCTAACATGATTGTTCATCGTGATTTAAAACCTGGAAATATTTTACTGGATAATAATTTGACACCAAAAGTGTGTGATTTTGGTTGGGTTTGGGTTTGGGTTTGGGTTTGGGTTTGGGTTTGGGTTTGGGTTTGGGTTTGGGTTTGGGTTTGGGTTTGGGTTTGGGTTTGGGTTTGGGTTTGGGTTTGGGTTTGGGTTTGGGTTTGGGTTTGGGTTTGGGTTTGGGTTTGGGTTTGGGTTTGGGTTTGGGTTTGGGTTTGGGTTTGGGTTTGGGTTTGGGTTTGGGTTTGGGTTTGGGTTTGGGTTTGGGTTTGGGTTTGGGTTTGGGTTTGGGTTTGGGTTTGGGTTTGGGTTTGGGTTTGGGTTTGGGTTTGGGTTTGGGTTTGGGTTTGGGTTTGGGTTTGGGTTTGGGTTTGGGTTTGGGTTTGGGTTTGGGTTTGGGTTTGGGTTTGGGTTTGGGTTTGGGTTTGGGTTTGGGTTTGGGTTTGGGTTTGGGTTTGGGTTTGGGTTTGGGTTTGGGTTTGGGTTTGGGTTTGGGTTTGGGTTTGGGTTTGGGTTTGGGTTTGGGTTTGGGTTTGGGTTTGGGTTTGGGTTTGGGTTTGGGTTTGGGTTTGGGTTTGGGTTTGGGTTTGGGTTTGGGTTTGGGTTTGGGTTTGGGTTTGGGTTTGGGTTTGGGTTTGGGTTTGGGTTTGGGTTTGGGTTTGGGTTTGGGTTTGGGTTTGGGTTTGGGTTTGGGTTTGGGTTTGGGTTTGGGTTTGGGTTTGGGTTTGGGTTTGGGTTTGGGTTTGGGTTTGGGTTTGGGTTTGGGTTTGGGTTTGGGTTTGGGTTTGGGTTTGGGTTTGGGTTTGGGTTTGGGTTTGGGTTTGGGTTTGGGTTTGGGTTTGGGTTTGGGTTTGGGTTTGGGTTTGGGTTTGGGTTTGGGTTTGGGTTTGGGTTTGGGTTTGGGTTTGGGTTTGGGTTTGGGTTTGGGTTTGGGTTTGGGTTTGGGTTTGGGTTTGGGTTTGGGTTTGGGTTTGGGTTTGGGTTTGGGTTTGGGTTTGGGTTTGGGTTTGGGTTTGGGTTTGGGTTTGGGTTTGGGTTTGGGTTTGGGTTTGGGTTTGGGTTTGGGTTTGGGTTTGGGTTTGGGTTTGGGTTTGGGTTTGGGTTTGGGTTTGGGTTTGGGTTTGGGTTTGGGTTTGGGTTTGGGTTTGGGTTTGGGTTTGGGTTTGGGTTTGGGTTTGGGTTTGGGTTTGGGTTTGGGCTTGGGTTTAGTTTGTTGGGTTTGGGTTTGCTTGCTTGG